CCCCCACCCAGTAATAGTGGCTATAGGGGATAATAGGGATTATATTAAGGTCCTAATATATTCCTATTCTACCACTATTACAGGGTGGGGGGTCCTCCTAAAGGAGACTGTTCATCATGTAGGGTTTACGGTTTAGGGTTCAGCCCTGTTCCTCAAAATGGGAGGGCCCTTCTGCAAGATGCTCCTTTGCAAGCACCCAAGCTAGGGCCCACAATTCTTTGACAGCCTAGGTCCAGTCTCGCTGAAACTGCTACAGGCCTCCGTTTGCTGGCACACACAGCTCCTGAGCTCCCAGGCTTGGTTTTTGGTCATCCAATAAGGAGAGCCAAATGGAAAAGAACATGGGAATGAAATTGGCATGACGGTTACATATAAGATTGGGAAAATATAGGGGGTTTAGGGATTTATGAAGCTTGACATGCAAGATAAATACGAATCCACTTGCCAGCTTGAGCATCCATACATGCGCACATTGAGCTAAGCCCGTGACGCCGCCAGGGTACCAAGTCCACATGTTTTCCTGCCGTTTAAGGGTTTATAGTCCCCCTTCAGTAGATGGAATATGGCTTTGGGTATATTATAACCAGATCCCCATAAACCCCATATTCTATCTACTTAATTTGACGCTGAAAACATGGCAATGCCAAGACACCTCCTCACCGCCTGCGACCTGTACAACCTCTGGCAAACTTGTTGAGCGAATATTGGGGTTATATTGGGGTAATATTGGGATAATGGAAAAGAAAATGGAAGCTACTATTTAGCGTGATAAAGCTGTGCACGTGCTGTGCGCAGCGACAAGCTGTGCAGCGGACACTGCGGCCGTCCACATATGGCTGGTGTGAAGGGTGGACACCTAAAGCAGGGAGTTTACATTATTGCTCATATGTGTCAAAGCCCAAGCCTTGAATCCAACACAGAAGCTGGACCCGAGCATCTGGTGTTCCTGATGAAGATGAGAACTTTCTGGTTCTTAGTAGGGAAAAGGGAATTCAGTCCCTATATAATCTACTCCCGTATTCCCTTCCAAGAACCAGTAAGATAAGGAGGAAATAAACATGAAGCAAGGAAGCTTTGAAAAGACAAGTATATTTGCCACCGACAAAATTGTGCGCAGATGATCAGGTACGAACTTCGTAGAGACAATTTCTATCCTATATAACCCTCATGTCCATCTCATTTCCCATATTTGTCCATTTGATTCACCATTGTTGCGATAGTATCCCTAAACGTCAAACTCTATAGAAGTCCTATATACACCTATAAAACCCTAAACCCCAAACCCCAAACCCTCAGCCTTGTCTTGCGTCTTGTGACACCAAGCCGGTACCTCCGAAGCCAGCAGACAGAGCATGACCCAATGTCTCAGTATGGCTATTGTCGCTTTGTACGGTAGGATGTATATTTCATATAATCGACAGTACATAAAAACCTATTCATACAATGTGCAAATACTAATGTATAGAATATACAAGAAACCTGATGTATGATACGCTATACGTTTCTTGCATGCATTATATTATATAACACCTTGTACATATAATATCTTATATAGGGAGCCCTGCAGGCAGGTGGGTTTCAGGTAGGACGTATTCACCAGTCTTCCTCAGGAATCCTGTAGAAGACAGAAGCAGGGCAAATTCTAACCTAACACGGAAAGTTTAGGGTTTAGGGTTTAGGAAAGTAGACAGGACGTCCGTACGAGTTAACGAGTTCACAGGGGTCACATAGGGATCCATGGTTCCAGGCAACTTAACAACATTCTGCGCATTTTTGAAAACCCTGCAGCCTCTAGGATTTGCACACGGTTTAGGGTTTAGGGTTTAAGCACTGATTTTCAACTTAAGGCGCCACAACTGCAGTTTCCGTCAATCAGGACCTACGAATCGGATCCCCAAACGGAATTCCCAGGCAGTGATTCTGCAAGCGTCACGTAAGCGTCCCAACATGACGCTGCATCTCGGGAGCCAACCCCTTGTGGGGGTTTAGGGTTTAAGGTTTAGAGTTTAGGCTTTAGGGCCAAAAAGCAATCGACAAGGCCTCGAACAGGGTGAGGAGCACCAGCGCCACAAGCCTTCTTTGTTGCTGGAGCCCGATTTCGGACTAGATGCAAGGCTACCTTTGCTACTATATAGTATATTGGGGTCATACAGGGAAAATGGAAAAGAAATTTGAAACTACTTTACAGTATATTGGTTTTTTGAGGTTTGACTCTTGGTTCTGCAGGAAGCTGCTGTCGCGTCGTTCCAATGACCCACTGCTCAGCGTGCCAGCCTCCAAGCCCAATTCCCGAAATCAGGGGCCCCACAATTGTCCCAGGTTCAACCGTTGATAATCCCCAGAAGCTAGCCTGAAGATCCCAAAGCCGGGACCAAAATTTGTTGGAACCGATTTGAAGGGCCCCAGGGCAAGCTGTGACTAGGGACTGTAGGGTTCAGGATGGAAAAGGCTTTAAGCTATCTAGTGAGATGAAAGCTGAGTTCTATAGGAGGTTTTTATAGCGATGATGTGCAGGGGCCTGGATCATCAGAATAGTGTGCTGAGGCAAGTTGTACTGTACTTCTATGAGGATGTACCATAATATACCATAATATGCCCTAATATACCATAATGCCCCCATGAAGAACATGGGCAGAATCTTCCCAGCTTCAGATCTCCGAGGCTCCCGCGCACGATGATACCTGAGAGAGTACGGCTGGATGTGCATGCAGCACATGTCGAACTACAAGAAGAAGGCATAACACTCGTCCATGGCTGCTTTGGAGTTACACGCGGTCGCTACTGCACCGGATAAGATTGCATGCAATTTCAGCAAGCAGCTAACTTCAGCGTAGCACTGCCGCGTTAAGAAACTGACATGCAAGTGAATCATTGAAACTTGTGGTAATTTCCTAAAATAGGGGGACCCCATTCTAGATCCCAATATACTATAGTCCTTATTAAAGGGACCCCCAAAAGGTACCCCTAATTATGATGTGATGGGAAATCCCTTGTGCTGTGGGCAAGCTGCCATCTGTTGAAGCGCATACAGTCATAGTGCACGAGGCGAGCAGCCTGAATGTCCTTCCGGCTTCAAGACTTGAATTTTAGGGTTTAGGGTTTAGGGTGGCTTAGTAATCTTGGAAAAGAAAATGGAAACTACTGTAGTATACGGAGGTAGGGATAATGGAAAATGGAAAGTACTACATATCACTTCCCTCCTCGATCCTACTGCAAGGTCTAGACTTACATGAGCTATAGCCTAAACTCCTAGTATCCCCTTAATAAGACCTATAATACTCCCCTAAGCAATCCACTAAAAAACCTCCTTTAGTTTAAACTATAGCTCACATATTCTGGCAGGATCAGTACTGTTCGGGCAGAGTACTGTTGCTCGAACATGTCCAAACCCAAAATCCAAGCAAGCCTCGGAAAGGAGAAGTGTAGATTAGCCATGGCGTTTCAATTGTGCGTCCACTTCCTTGTCCACAAACGCTGAGGACTTGTTGCAGCGGCCCGATCCCAAACACAGACTTTTGTAAGCAAGATGGAGCTTTGTCAAAGCAGCAACCCTCACCTATACCCCGGTGCAATAGGATGCTGCATCCTATAGGGTTTAGGGTTTAGGGGTTTAGGGTTTAGGGGTTTAGGGTTTAGGGGTTTAGGGTTTAGGGGTTTAGGGTTTAGGGGTTTAGGGCACAATCCTTGCAAATTCTTGTGAATCTCACACAGAGCCATGTCGCGAATTTTGACGACTCCACTATATCCCTCAATTATTGCCGAAAGGGACCCTTATCGCTTGAGGAAAATTTCTGATGTCTGGAAAACCCAGCTGCCCGAATCCCATAAAGGATCCCAAAAAAGGAACCCCCTTATAATCCACTAGTTTCCCCGATGTAGTAATGTGTTAATATTGGGGGGGGGGGGCTCCATTCTTTGGGAAAACCCAGCTGTGATCCTTGGGATATACGTGAACCGACTTTCCCAGAATGGCGTTCTCCAACTGCCAGGCGGCCTGGCACTTCGAGCTACTATAGTATGTTAGGGTTAGGGTTTAGGGTTTGCTACTATAGTATATTGTGATATAGGGGTTATACTGAGATAATGGACAAGAAAATGGAAACTACTATATAATCTATGGGAGCGATGTAGGATAATGGAAAAGAAAAATATAAGACTATATATGATATACTATGTTGGGGTTATATAGGGATAGTCGGGGTTGTTGCCGGGAGCTCCGGGGGGTTTGGGCTGCAGGGTTTAGGGTTTAGACGAGGCTTCTTACTGCTGAGCGGTAGCGCGACGATCCCTCCAAGGCGTTCCATTTCGTCAGGCTGTGTCTCCCTAAACCCTAAATCCTAAACCCTAAACGACCCAAGCCATTGCGCCTTGACAACAGTAGCCTTTCGGTTCCGGGAAGGATTGTCCGCGAGCAGCGGAATGTTCGACCTTGGAGAGCCAGTTGTGCAAAGAGCAACTTTGAGCAGATGGCCTCTTCAAGTAGTAGGGTTTAGGGTTTATAGGGCTTATAGGGTTTATAGGGTTTATAGGGTTTATAGGGTTTATAGGGTTTAGGGCCGTGCTATCCTCGCAGTTTCTGTCAGGCTGACTGCATCTTGTGCTATTTGGCCAAATGCGCCGTGTCACAGTGTTGACTCCGCGAAATGTGACATGCACAGCAGGAAGCCAAAAGCAGATCGATGAGAAGGATCTGGGGAGCAGACGCCATGTCACCCTTAGTTGGCGGGGAGTGAAATTTCAAATAAGGCTGTTTGAGCGCCGGTTTTGCAAGATCTGACCTTATAAGCTTTGTAGGCCTCAAGCTTTGCAAGCGTCCTTTCCGTGAGTGACTTTCAAGGATATTGAAAGAGAACCTTGATGCCAGCGCAACACAACATGTTGGCAGCCGTGGCAGATGCTGAACCCTTTTCTATGGGTTTTCCCGCGCCCTGACTGCATCAAGTTGCCAGGCAGTCGGGACTCAGTGCACCAGGATCTGAGGGAGCCCAAATGCCACGGGCACATGTGACAGGGTTTGAGGCTCATCAGTTTGGGGTGCTTGGGGGTATATTGGGGCTATATAGGGGCTTATTGGGTTTGTATTAGTGTTATATTGGGGTTATATTGGACTTTTATAGGGGTTTTGAAGCTTGGGATCCTCGGGGGCTAGGCTTGGCTGAAACCCTAAACCCTCTATCGCGGAGGGGTCTGAGATGTGCCTTGGGGCATGCTGCAGGGTTGAGCACAGGGAGCGCTGGGAATAGCGCAAGCTCGTTATGTCAGGTTAGATGGTGTTTACTGTTTTGGGTTTAGGGTTTAGGGTTTGAGGATATTACCCCGAGGCCCAAAAATGGAGAATCAAATGGAAAAGAAAATGGAAACCGGTGGACCGTTTCACACGCCCCGCGTTTGGCAAAGCTCGCGCATGCCCTGAAACTGTCACCTCGAGCGCAGACACGACATCTAAGGACTTCAGGAGGGACCCCTAATAGGGACCCTTAATCCCATTACCATATATAACCCTTATATAGTCATTCTATAACCCCTATATCCCTAGGTAGTCCCCATACTAACCCCCATAAGCTACAAGGGTCCCTATTAGGGGTCCCTCCAGATGTCCTTAGACGAAAGGAACTTCAACGTTGCATTTTGCTAACGCCAGGAACGGCGACGCCTGGAAAGTGGGCTTTCTGATCCAACTCAACCTACATAAATCCAAAACCCTGTCTAATATATTCCCATATTCCCTACATTACCCCCTGATAAGTATAATCATCCAGTGTACCTGAAATGTCTGCAAAGATTTGCTTTGGCTTCAGTTAGCTGGCCATAAAGGCATGGAAAAAGAAAAAGGAAACTACTATAGTGGGTTATATGAGTCATAGTCTAAACTCCTAGTATCCCCCTTAATATACCCTATAGTAGTCCCCTATATACTCCCCTGTATAAGCCCTTCAAGGAGCTTAGATTATAGAACATATAGTGACTACTAAAAGGATTCATTCCCTCCTTCCTGGCTAACCAAAGGCAACCTCTGTATACCGCCAGTTTCCATTTCATTTTCCATCTTGTTGTCAATTTCAGATTCCATTACTGGGGTATGTGCCAATCTATTCCTAGCTAACCAACTCTAAACCCTGAACCCCTAAAGGTAAGCAATTTATGATGTCCTACTTAGGGCCAGGGGTTCTCAACTCCTTCCAGGCCTCGCTTCCTACCACAATGTCAACAGGCTGACGACCTTGCAAGCCACGTGTAACCTTCCGCAGCGCCATGGTGAGGATGATGATGATGATGATAATGATGATTAATGTTGCTATTGCTACTGTATTCTTATTCTTTTTGTTATTAATATTAGTATTATCACTTTTTGTATGAGTATTCTTCTGTTACTATTGTTAAGATGGAATTATGATGATGATCATCATCATGATAGTGATGGCTATGATGGAACTACTGCAAGATCAGCCAGAGCCCGGCTCTGCATGTACAATCTGGTAGACTCCGCTTGGAAGAGGCAAGCTCTTTTCTCCAGCTGCGCGGTTTAGGGTTTAGGGTTTAGAAGCCTACCGCTCCTCCTCGGGGTCTTTTCCCAGAAAGGTTTGTTCATTGACGTGAACAGCGTGCCACATTTTGGAGACGCTCAGTGAGACTGTGCTCTTGCCATGCGCATGTGCCAACAACGAACAACACCGTGTTGGAAGCCTGTCTCACAAAATAATAATAGCAATATTAACAACAATAAAAATAGTATTAATGGTAATAATAATGATACCAATACTAGATAAAATTGGGATAATAATGATAATGAGAATCTAATAATAGGAATGCTAAAGCCTACGCGCTGGCTCCGCTAAACTCGAATCCACACAAATCGAACTTACTGGGGATAAGTAGGGAATCTGGGAATATTCGATGTAAGGATTGTATAAGGATTAGATTGGGATTATGTTGGGATTATAAAGGGGAACCTAGTGGGGTTGAAAGGGGATAACGAAAACGAAAGTGGAAACTACTACATTCTAATAAAGTCTAAATGGGTTTAGGTTAGTGAAGAAAGAATATAGTATTTGGGGATTATATCCCTAAACCCTCAACCCTAAACCCTAAGCCCTAAACCCTAAATCCTAAACCCTAAACCCTAAACCCTATTCCCTCCTAAGACCCAAAAAGCACATTTCTTTCAGCTTGGCTTCGAGCTGAGAAAGTTCACGCTGCCCATGGCATGACATTGATGTTCAGGGCCCATGGGGTTTAGGGCTTTAGGGTTTAGGGTTTTAGGGTTTTAGGGTTTAGGGTTTAGGGTTTTAGGGTTTTAGGGTTTAGGGGTTTAGGGCTTAAGGTCTTCAACTCCCCGGAAAAAAGCATACCCCGGCAAATGCCCATGGCATGGAAGAGGGAAGACCCCAGGCCTCCCGCAGGAAGCTTTCACTGCGCCTCCTGGAAGACATTTTGCCGAAAACAGGGCCTGGTCAGGTTTTGTTTCATGCTTTGCGGTTTCCCTAAACCCTAAACCCTAGACCCTAAACCCTAAACCCGTAAACCCTAACCCCAAAAATCCTAAACCCTAAACCCTGCAGATGTACGCCCCATCAGGGCTTGAGAGGTGCCCCTGATATCCAAGAATACGTCTAGATTGATTCAAAGACATGGATCCTCACTACAGGTACCTCCCAAAAAGGGACCCACATTTTGAGAAACTCTCATCTCTGTACCATCTGAGTTTAGGGGTTCAGGGGCGTTGTGATTTAGGGGTTTAAGGATTTTGGGGTCTGGGGGTTGGGGTTCGGGTTATCTCTACAGGACGTCCCTGCCTAGCCACGATTGCCGACTCGCTCTTGCAGCCTTGAGATCAGCTGGCTGAACCTTGGGCCGAAATCGTCAGGGTCTAGGGTTTAAGGGGGGTACCACAAGGACTCCCACAAGTTCCTTCTTGGGTTTGTATTGGTTTTTGACCCTAAACCCTAAACCCCAAACTGTAATCTTATACCCTATGGTAGAAGGAACTAGGGTTCCGGGGAAGGAGCTTGAGGCCTGAATCAGTAGAGATATGGGGGTTTCCTCATTTTAGGGCTACCATCACAAGGGTCCCCATAATAAGGATTATGACATTTTGGGGTGTATATTGGGGTCCCCTTATCTTGGGAAACTAGCACATTCTGCCCTGATACAACCCATTACACGGCAGCATGCTGAAATGCCGCGCAGGCATGTCATACGCCCCGAACCCTCTGTCACATGCCCGCTGAAACGTCAGCATGTTACATACGCCCTGCCATGTGCTTTGCGGCGGACTAGAACAACAATATGTTGATGTCATACCCTTACAGTGACCACTTGAACCCACATTCATTGGTGCCATTGCATCATCTAGCTGACAGAGGCCTGATGGAAAGCTATGTAAAAAGTATGTAACGATGTATGTTGCAAGTTTCAGAAATATGGTAGTTTCCCAAAATAGGGGGACCCCAATGTAGATCCCAATATACTATAATCCTTATTAAGGGGACCCCAAAAAGGTACCCCTAATTTTGGGAAACCCCCATATAGATTTGTGGGCCGGAAAACTCATGCTCCGAGGTCCGAGGCTTCTTGCGACAGCAGTGGGAACGGATGCCAAGCAGTTGGGGTTGTTGCAAAAAGTGTCGTCTGATTGACGCCTATGAAACACGGATGTAACGGGTGTCGATTTCAGTGGAATAAGAGGACTGTGGGGTCCGCCTGAAGGATTCCATGAGGATCATGTTTGATAAGCTCGCATAGCTGATATAAGACCCAAACCCTGAACCCTATATATGTATGTGCAAACTGATGATACGTCGGACTGGGCTACGGGCCGAGCGTCTGCATACTCCCGCCTCTTGGTCTCGTTGTCGCGCTGTTCCTGCAGTTAAACATACTGGGGGGGTGTTGTGTTTAGGGTTAGTAAGGAATAAGGGAATGGGAATATGTTATTTAGAGGATTGCATAGGGATTATACAGGCTTATGATTCCCTACTAGCCACCAGGAAGACCTTGCACCAGCAGTATCATTATGCTCTGCTTGTAGCCTTCATGCGGTACTTTCCCAAAACTAGGGTACCCCAATACAGACCCCAATATACTATAATCCTTAATATGGGGACCCCCAAAAAGGTACCCCTAATTTTCGGAAACTCCCATGCCAGTGTAGCCGAAGTTCGGGGGTCCAAAGCAATGGGATCCTGGCCTTGAGGGTCTGCAAGTCTGCACAGGAAGATGGCTTAGGGTTTCGGATTTGGGGCTTAGGGTGTAGGGCATTGGGTTTAGGGTTTGGGCTTAGGGTTTAGGGCTTAGGGTTTAGGATCTAGGGTGTAGAGTACATCATCATGTTTAGTCCTACCTCCTCTGCCTCACTGTTCCAAGTTCCCGACTGCATTCTACCATGCCAAGCAAGGGTTTAGGGATTAGGGTTTTATGGTTCAGGGTTCCTTAGATGTCCTCCTAAACCCATCTAAACCCCCTCTACATCCCTTGGGAGGTCCCCCCAACCTAACTTTAGTCCGTAGCTCAGATGCCACAGTCTAAATTCCTAGCATCCCCCTATAATAATGGTCTCCTAAATAATCCCCTTTGCAACTCCCCTTTGAGGAGTTTAGAGCTCACATTGCGGCATCCCATGCAGGGAGCCAAGCACTCCTGAACTTCTTTCAGCTCTTCCCTCATCTTCTCCAGCTCCTGGGAGAGGTCAGAAGAATTTTATAGTTTCCATAAATCGGGGGACCCCAATATAGAACCCAAAATACTACAATCATCCATAATCCTTATTGAACTTCTGGGACCGCACAAATGCTACAAAATTCTGAGAAACGCCGGTTTGCGTGGACATGCAGCTCGGCATTCAACCGCTCCCCTCACGTCGACGACAGTCCGCCCTTGCCCTAGCTTTTCTTGAACATTCCCATGTCTCCGGGCCTCGGTAAGTGCCTTCTGGCGCAGCTCTGCCTCACGCGCACGCTGCGATGCCTGGCCGATATCTCTGGAGCAAGATGACAAAACGTCAAGGCGGTTCCTAGAATCTATAATGCATGGAAGATCAAATGGAAAAGAAAATGGAAAATGGCATGGACAAGAAAATGGAAAATGAAATGGACAAGAAAATGGAAAATGAAATGGACAAGAAAATGGAACATTAAATGGAAGCTGGGATGTAGTTAATGGACACTTTAGATGGAAAAGAAAACTCAAAATGAAATGGAAACTGGGACTATACAGAGGACTATGGGGATTAACATTTCCCCTTGAATTATTGGACAAGGGTTCCCATTACGGAATATATTTGGGTTTATACTGAACAATTGAAGGTACCCCTACATCCGTGCTTAATTGACAGTAGCTCATATAGACTCATAGACTCCAGATAGGCTCCGATCTCGAAAGTCTAAAACCCTAAACCCTAAACCCTAGACCCCTACACCCTAAACCCGTAAATCTACAGGCTCAAGGCACGTGTGATCTCAACTTGCAAAGAGGCCACATTCACACAAAACACTGCACAAAGCCGAGGAGCCCACCCTGAACCCAAGGTTTAGGGTTTAGGGTTTAGGGTTTAGGGTCCCAAATCTCCAAACCCTCTACCCTAAACCCCTAAACCCCTCAACCCTAAATAGTAGTTTAACCCCCAATATTACCCCAATATACACCCTACATATAATAGTTTCCATTTTCTTTTCCATTATCCCTATATAACCCCCAATATTACCCCAATATACACCCTACATGTAATAGTTTCCATTTTCTTTTCCATTATCCCTATATAACTCCCACTATTACCCCAACATTACCTCCAATAATAACCCCCAATATTACCCCCCAATATAACCCCCAATATAACCCCCAATATAGCCCCCAAACCCTAAACCCTAAACCCTGAACCCTAAACCCTAAACCCTAAACCCTGAACCCTAAACCCTGAACCCTAAACCCAATACAGCCCCCAATATAATGACCAAAGACTCCCTGCACCTCGACAGCTGCATCCTGGACCTGCGACCGGACTCGGCCCGCGGAGTTTGCACATTGATCTTCTGCGCCCCATGTAGTGGTTTAGTGGTTTAGGGTTTAGGGTTTGGGGTTTAGGGCCTAGGGTTTAGGGTTTAGGGCTTTAGGGTTGAGGGCCTAGGGTTTAGTCCATAAATAGGGGGACCCCCATACAGAGCCCAATACCCTACAATCCTTACTATGGCGACCCCCCACGATGGTACCCCTAGTTGTTGAAACCCTTATTTCATTTCCTTCAAGTTGACCACACATCTTGAATATGCATCTGGAGAACAGATTGCATGCCTGATTGCAGGGTTGCAGCATAGCATCCCTCACCCCTCAACTTACTGGTTATTAGTAGGGAATATGGGAATATGATCCCTAGGTAACCCCTATATAATCTATTCCTTCTTCTTCCCTACTAAGAACTAGTAAGTCAAGGCAAGGAAGACTGTCTCAATGGAAAAGCCACTGGAAAAGAACATGGAAAATGAAATGGGAACGGTGATTTTAAAGGGGAGCACATAAACATCAGAAAATCCCCTAAACCCTAAACCCTAAACCCAAACCCTAAACCCTAAACCCCCAGCAGCCCAGGCGCTCCGATCTTTTTGGCCAGGGCAAGTTCTGCAGTCCAATTGGTGCGGTGTTGTGGAACTCAGCACCAAACAATGCAGCCGTTGGGTGAGCTCACTCCATAATAGCGATAGCCTACACTCCTAGTATCCTTTTAAAAAACCCCTTATTATAATAGTCCCCTATTTAACCTAAGGAGTTTAGACTACAAGTCATAATGATAATAAGAATAATCATAATAATAACCATGATAATAATCCTAATGATCTTAATAGTAACTATAATAATCATAACAATCGTATGAATAACCTTAATAGTACTTATAATGATCATAAAGTGGTGATAGCTCATTTGAGCAATGATCAACCCTTTGGTTTTCTTCGTCTTCTTCCTTGCTACGTTTTGTTGCCACAGGCGCTGGGTCCCACTTCGGACGTAGCCCGGGTCATCGCCCGGGTGATCTGGCTGTCACCCCAGAGAGCACCCCAACTTCTTGCAGACTCCTATCTCATGCCACTCATAGTTACTGCAAACCCCTCTTGGCGATGTTTCCCATCAGTAAGCGGGTTCCACTGAGGAACGAGCTTATGAGCAGGGGTTCAGAGCTGTTGATGCAAAGGGCATTAGTGAGAAGTTTTGCGTGCACCTTACCTCTGAACTGACAGGCGGAAAGATGCTCAACCAGCCCCCTGTTATGCTTTCGTGAGATGAAGGTCTTTTGCACATGAAGAATCCTGCCAGTGTTCGCGAGAAACCTTAAACTCTAGAGACTCTAGATCCTGAATAGCGTACTTGTTTCCATGCTCTTTTGCGTGATCCCTGTTTACCCTGAAATGCCCCTATAACCCCTATATAACCCCAATATATACCCTATAATACTATGTGTTCCCCGTATAACCCCAATATAGCCCGAATATGACCCCAATGGGTACATTAACCTTTATCCTTTGCAGATTCTGCGGGATGCTCCCTTCCATGGAGTCTTGGATCTCCTACTACCCACAATTGCTATCTTGCAAGAGAAGGCGACCGCGGCTGGAGGGATAACGGCTTGAGCCTTGAGTCTTCTGTACCTTGTCCCTATTCCACCTATAGTATAACTTGTCCCTATATATCCCCACTCATAATCCCTTACTTCCTTGGCATTATTACCCCTAAGCCCTAGAATGGCTTGTACCTTCCTCTGATCTTTGGAATTTAGGACTTCCCTCCAATGCCGGAGAATTTGGCCGCAGCCTGTGAAACTCGGGTCGAACGTCGTGTTGCAACGAGGTACACATGTCTCGAGACATGAGCAGCCAACCAAACCGGCCCGCCATGTCCAAATTTGGCAAAAGCGCATGGCTTACAAAGCTCCCCATTGGGGTTATGTGTATATATATATAAGGGTTATATTGGGATTATAGTGGGATGATGGAAGAGAAAATGGAAACTAGTGCATTATAATAGGGGATATATTAGTATGCGCAGCGGACATGGTGAAGCCTGGCAACACGATAACCATGTCTGCGCCGAAAGCTCCAACACTTCATTTCGATAAAAGCACAAACCATTAGCACACACCTGCATACGCCAACAGATTTGGAGCTTTCAGAGCTATGCATGTTGCGTCCCCCAGGTGCCCTGAAGAATGGTACCGACACTAATTCCACTTACAAACATGGTTAAGGGTTTGGGGTTTAAGGTTTATGGTTTAGGGTTTTTTGACTAAAAGAATGGTACAGTTACCAACCACTTAGAAACATTACTATCTGTGTCTGATGCACTGCAAGCAAATCCACTGCTCGGCTCCTTGACCAAGACAGCACTAAATTTCCAACGATGGAGAATCGGATGGAAGGAACATGAAACATGAAGTGGGAAGTACTAATACAGGGATCATGTAGGGCTTAAGGATGCTACCCAGTAGTGGAGAATCAAACAGACAAGAAAACGGATAAGAAAATGAACAATGAAATGGAGACTGTGTTTATACAGAGGTCATAACAACTCTAGTCTTAACTCCTCGTATGACCCCTCAATAAGCCCTGTAGTAGTCCCCTATATAAATCGACTATAGAACCCCCTTTAACGAGTTAAAAACCCTAAACCCTAAACTCTATATAGTCCCCTATATAAACCCCCTTTAAGGAGAAATATGAAAAATGCAAGTTTGCCTTGTCATGTGAACCACCCCATGCCACGAGAGGCCTAGCCCCACTCTATGGCGTGCTTCGAACAAGCTGCATCTGTCATAGGGTTTAGGGTTCAGGGTTTAGGGTTTAGGGTTCAGGGTTTAGGGTTTAGGGTTTAGGGTTCAGGTCATATGAGCCAATAACCCAATAATGGATCATCAAATGGAAAAGATGGAAAATGAAATAGAACTGGGGGGGGGTTAGGGATATTTGAGCTACAGTCAACACTCCTAGTATCCCCCTTAATAGCCCCTACAATATGTCCCTATTTTCTCCTCATATAATCCCTCTTCTACGAGTTTTGACTATAACTCATAGTATGGCTTTTCTGACTACTGGCACGAGTGGGGACACTATACGGATGCATGCCTACTCTTTTGCAGGTGCTCCATGCGTCGTACTCACGATTGTTGAGTTAAGCCCCGGCAGATCCCCCCAGCACAAGAAAAATCGTTGATGCTACCCAATGTGTCTTATCAAATTGGGTGGCAAGCGGGTCCCCTGGTAGACCGGCGCATCATGAAACATGGCTAGAATTGGGAAGCTGCGTCGGGCCAATCTCCCTGCCAGATATTAGGGTTCTCATGAAGCCGCAACGGACGGAAGTGCTTCTTTCCATTCTACAGAGAGGCCTTTGCTTCAAATCGAAACTAACTTAACCATGAATGAGTATCCGAGCATTGTTAGCACTACTACTTACAAAGCATCAATCTTGCTATTCACTACCAGGACTCTTGAGTTCTCTTGCTGTGAATTGCTGGAAATCCGTGCTTCCTCAAAAACACTGCTAAGTGCCATAACTTCCGAATGCAGTGCGAATGAGGCATTCAATACCAGCAGTGGCTAGGACCCATGTTGCGTCTCCATTTTCTGAGGCATAGGCTTCTCGCTCACTGAAGCCTGGGCTGTGGGGGGGTGAGGTTTGCAGAGTTCATGTGTTGGCAATGTGTGCTCAACAAGTCATCTCGAATATGCGTATCTTGCCTGCAATTAGAGTCCTCATCTACAGGCAGACGATATTGTAACTCTTGGGCCTTCGAATTCAACTGCTCGTGTGTCTGCTCACATCACGCTGTGGGAAGGAAGACTACACGCTGTGGACAAGCTGGCGGAAGTTGACAACGAACGCGGCAAAACCAACGAGATGAGAATTCAGAAGGTAGTGTTCGGGGGAAGGCTAGGACAACAGCAGAGTGTGTTCATTCGAAAGTGATATTAAATGGGAAAGCCATCTGGGCAAAATCTTGTTCAAGGCTAGATGTCTGCGTGCCCCGTGCAAAAACTGAGAGCCCGGCTGAACGATCTTCCTCCTGAATTCATCCAGGAAGGGACCCAAGACGTCCTCGCGTCTTTGGGGTCCTCCAAAAAAATGCGCAATTGCCTGAAGTGCCATTTCTCAGACATGCAGAGTAGCAACAGCTTCTGACTCTGGCCGAAGGGATTACCTGAACCGCATAAGTATGTAGAACAATTGCCGTTTGGGCTATTTTTTTAATGGTTTTGTGCTATTATGTTACATATTTTTGGGGTTTAGGTGCCGGTTGCGAAATTGATTTTTGCATCGTGACAAAGCCTAACCATCTGTCAGCAGAATGCAGGGGTTCAAGCACGCACGGCAAGAAAACAAGCCTAGCAATGCCGAATAACCCCGAGTCACACCGAAAGCTACTATATATACCCCGATATAACTCCACTTTCCATTTCTATTCTCTTTTCCATTTGATTCTCCATTATCCCAATATGTGCTGTTCAGGAAGACGAGCCTGCGGTTTCTTCCCTCATGGTGCTGGACCAGACTCCCTCTTCACGTAGATGGTCAAGACCTGGCGCTGCGAACACCGGGCTGAAAGAGTGGATAGCGAGACTGTCTCTAGCTCCCAGTGGCAGTAGCCAAATCACCGGTGTTTCCAGCAAAGGGGTGGAGCGTGAAAAGGTACTGCATGTTTAGACTGGGGCATGTTTGGGGACATGTTTCCGGGTGTGGTTCTTGCTATGTTTTGGGTACGTCTTATTTAGCGGGATGTTGGGGAGTATGTTTCGGAGTTTGCACTGGATCTGTTCCAGAGTGTGTCTCGGTGTGCTCAGACTTGGCTTCTTACTTACATTCCTGACCCTCAATTTGTAGATAGTCCTCAAGGAGACCCTTAATCCCCTCCCCCTAATGATAAACCCCCCCACCCCCTAATAATGAATACTCCCCAAATATGGTATACTATAATATATTGGGAATATTTATTATTAGGGGGGTGGGGG